ACTGATGTGGGCCAAAGCCTAAAACGATGTGCCGGGAGTTTGCTGTTCTCCCCGGTTCAGATATTTGAAGTTTGCACAGCTACATTCTCGCCTGAAAAATTTTTAAACGTTTATTTTGCATCCCAGAAAGAGTAATAAGAGGGGCACTGAAATTCGGGATTGTCCGAGAAAAAACGGAAGGGTTGGCATGTATTGCCTTGCATAGCCTGTAACGTTATTATGATGGACATATTTTATGAGTGAACTTGACTTTAAGTGACTTACAGGTTTCTTTGAAAAATACTTTCTTATATCCAGGTTCTTTTTACTGCCATCCTCCTCTCCTCCTTGCAGGTCCTGGCAGGCAGGATTGCCGCTGCTAAAACTAAACAGAGCTCCCTGAAAGGCACAGCCAATCACATTGGCCATATTTGTCACATGATATAGGACTCCAGTAGAGAAGTAATTTAACTCTTTCTGCTCCGCTGGGTGAATGAGACGTTGACAGATCGCTTTTTTTTTCTATCGGTTTTGTTTTTCTTTACTCGAAGAGATCAAATTATTGGTGGGGACAATTCAATAATCGCTGGATATTGGTGGGGACATGTCCCTTCCGTCCATGCCAAATCTACGCCCTTGGGCTCCCAGATCAAAATCTGCATTTGTTTATCAGTTGAGTAACATTTTCAAAATAGAAACTCAATAGACTGATGATATTCTTCTTAGTGAGCACTCCACTGAAGGATGGAGAGAGAGGCAGACTTCCATTAAAGTTGCTAAAAGTCATGTTACATTAAAGGTGGATATGAGGAGCAGTGAAGTATGCACATCTGGTTACAGCAGTTTTGAAATTATGCCGATTTTTTCTGAGACTGTTTGCATAAGATCGGCAAACAATGTGTTGAAGTCCAATCTGTCAGTTTTACACCAACAACTCTCAGATATTTCTGTGATAAACCTAGAAAAAGTTGAAGCTGAAGTTAACCGTTTTTAATATCTTCAGAAGTGCTTGCAAAAAAATACTCAAATTGGTTTTAAATGGTGCTAATAAACTCTTTTTTCCAACATATTAGAATTCAAAATATTTTCATGGCTTTACTTTATTATTCTATATACTTTTTGTGCATAGAGAAGATATATGTCACCTTACCATTACTGTGTTTTAGTATTAGATTAGGCCATTCTGAATTGTCTCAAATGTTCAAATATTTGACAGCGTTGGAGCTAGAATAGAGTATTTCTAAAGACTCCAAAATGAAACGTAAAGTTTAAACATCTGGCTACCATGTGAGTGGGAAAAAAAGAAGTTCAAATTGAGTGGGTCACAGTTACAAAGCGAGAACAAACTAAATAACCTTTAAAGTGTCTTTTGTCTACGGATACAAGACACTTGAAAGATCATGAAATACACACTATCCTTCTTATCATCAGAGACAGAACATGAAGAACTAACAAAGAAACAACTTTTTTTTAAAAAATGTGAACAGCAAACAGCTTTATTACAATCAGTAACACAAATGTCCTTCACTGTGTTCTAAAAACAATTGACAGCAACTCTGAAATGAAACTCAACAAATGCTACATTAATTTTAGTCCCAGTGCTCTCAGGCAACGTCATCAGTGAGCGCTCCACACTCGGCGACCTTTAGAAAATCCCAGGGACCTCAAGGTTATACTATTTAAATATTTGTGGAGTGCAAAATGAGTTGTTCTATTTTTGCGTTTTTATGTTTCAAGTTAAGTCACTTGGGTTGTGATTTATTTACCTTCATCTGACACCATGATGGAAGTGGGTTACTAGGTTTGCATAGTCGGGGATATACAGATGGATTCACTGCTTATTTTAAAAGAGGAGATCTTTATAGCCAATTTCAATGTGCCTGGCTAGAGATAGTCACACTTCATAAAAAGAAGGCAACAGTAATTAGTGGTCTTATTATATATCTAATTAAATGATAGTTAATTAAATTTCACAGTGAGAAGGGATAGTTTACTAACGCTTTCATGGTTTCCTAAAAAAAGTAACGTAGCGTCACTCATCCAAGTGACTTCTTCATTCTCAGCTGACTGCAGGTTTTCCCAACCTCATAAACAGCATGTTTGCATAATTGCAAACTAGCTCACATGTTAACAGCTAATTGTTAATCAGTGGTGCTAGATTTCAGTTGTTATGCAAATATACAGTTCATTACCATGTTTCAATATTCGATTAGCCTTGTCTCAAAATATTGAAATATTTGATAACTTTGGTGCTACAGTTTTTCCTAAAGACTTCCAAATTAAACAGGGGTTAATTAGGATTTAATTAATTTAACTATAATTATATTTTTGAAAACAAAAGAGACTTTAAAGTTCATCAGCTTAGAAAAAGGCTCTTTCTTAATTTTAAATTTAATTATGTATTTAATTTGCTCGTTTATCTCTTAATTTTAAGTGTAATATAAAACTTAGACATTAGAGTCAAACTGGGGTTCTGTCGCTTCAGGATTATGAGTTTTAATTCTGTATGAAAGACACCATGCATAACCAGAAAGGGAGCAGAACTGAGCTTTGTTTTGTCTTTGTCTTGCTTCACAACACTTTCTGAGTGGTGAATGTGAAATGTGTTACATTTGAAATGTTGAAATTGGCCACACACTGGTTGTGGTTCACTGCGTTAGAAACTGTGCGTTCACTGTTCTTTATACTGGTACATTTTTGTGA